GCCCGGCCCGGACCGTACTTTCTTACACATTCTGTCAATATTTGCCTTTTGACTGGAGACTTCACATGTAATTACTCAAAAGGAAGGACTTCTGCCATTTTATGTTTTTGATAAATCTTTTACCTTTTGGTTCCTCAATTCCTCTACTGCTGTATTCCTATGTATTACTTTTTGTACTGTACCATTTTAATTCTTGCCTTACTTCTTGTGTCCATTTTTTTTTTGGAGACAGTCTCGCTCTGTCACCCAGGCTGGAGTGCAGTGGCATGGTCTTGGCTTACTGCAACCTCCGCCTCCTGGGTTCAAGGGATTCTCCTGCCTCAGCCTCCCAAGTAGCTGGGAATACAGGCGGGTGCCATCGCACCCAGCTAATTTTTTGTATTTTTAGTAGAGGTGGGGTTTTACTGTGTTAGCTAGGATGGTCTTGATCTCCTGAACTCATGATCTGCCCACCTTGGCCTCCCAAAGTTCTGGGATTACAGGCGTGAGCCACTGTACCTGGTCTCTTGTGTCCATTTTTAAGATTTTTTTTTTTTTTTTTGAGACAGTGTCTCACTGTGTCGCCCAGGCTGGAGTGGTGCAATCTCGGCTCACTGCAAGCTCCGCCTCCCGGGTTCATGCCATTCTCCTGCCTCAGCCTCCCGAGTAGCTGGGACTACAGGCACCCGCCACTATGCCCAGCTAACTTTTTTGTATTTTTAGTAGAGATGGGTTTTCACTGTGTTAGCCAGGATGGTCTTGATCTCCTGACCTCGTGATCTACCTGCCTCGGCCTCCCAAAGTGCTGAGATTACAGGCATGAGCCACCATGCCCGGCCCATTTTTAAGATTTTTTTTGAGGTGGAGTTTTGCTCTGTCACCCAGGTTGGAGTACAGTGGCACAATCTCATGCCTCTGCCTGGGTTCAACCTCTGCCTCCTGGGTTCCAGTGATTCTCCTGCCTAGTCTCCTGAGTAGCTGGAATTACAGGTGTCCACCACCATGCCTGGCTAATTTTTGTATTTTTAGTAGAGACGGGGTTTTGCCACGTTGGCCAGGCTGGTCTTGAACTCCTGACCTCAGGTGATCCGTCTGCCTTGGCCTCCCAAAGTGCTGGGACTACAGGTGTGAGCCACTGTGTCAAGCCCATTTTTAAGATACTTTCTTAGTGATTACCATGATGATTGCACTGAACGTTCTAACATCCTAAAACAATTTAGACCAGTTAAGCCTCAGTAACATACAAAATCTCTGCTTCTCTACAAATGTTACCCCCACTTATGTCGTCATCACAGATTACATCTTTATATATAGTGGGGTAAAAAACATAGACTTATGATGCTGACCTTTTATGCATTTGTCCTTTAGATCACTTAGGAAATATGTATTGGCAAAAACCACAATTAATTTTGCACCAACCTAATACAAAATGTACTTAGAAACCAAAATACAAGGATACTAACTTTTATACTTACCCATGTAGTTACCTTTACTGGAGGTCTTTATTTTTGTATGGCTTTGAGTCCCTGTCTAGTGTTCTTTCATTTCAACCTTTAGGACTCCCTTTAAAAGCATTTCTTGTAGGGCAACCTATTTGTAACAAGCTTCCTCAGCTTTTATCTATCTGGATATGTTTTAATTTCTCCTTCACTTTGAAGAAGAATTTTGCCAGATAACAGAATTCTTAGTTAACAGGGTTTTTCCCCCCTCTTAGCAGTTTAAGCCGTCCCAGTGCCTTCTGACCTCTGGGTTCTGATAAAAAACTGGCTAGAAATCTTACCCAGAATCCCTTGTTCAGGATAGGTCTCCTTGCTTGCTGTTTTCAAGATTCCTTGTATTTCAACAATTTGATTAGAAAGAGACCTGGTGCGGATCTCTTTAAATCTACTGTTTGTTGAACTTCTTGCATGTGTAGACATGCCTTTCATCACATTTGGGATACTCTCAGTCATTATTTCTTCAAATATTTTTTTCATCCCCATCTCCACTCTTTTCCTTCTTGAACATCCCTACTATATATGTTGGTCTACTTGATGGTGTCCCATGGTCCACTAAGTTCACTTTTCTTTTTTTTTTTTGACACGGAGTCTCACTCTGTCACCCAGGCTGGGGTACAGTGGCACGATTTCGGCTCAATGCAATCTCCGCCTCCCGGGTTCAAGTGATTCTCCCGCCTCAGCCTCCAGAGTAGCTGGGACTACAGGCGCGTGCACCACGCCCGGCTGATTTTTGTATTTTTAGTAGAGATGGGGTTTCCCCATGTTGGCCAAGATGCTCTCGATCTCCTGACTTCAAGTGATCTGCTTGCCTCGGCCTCCCAAAGTGCTAGGATTACACACGTGAGCCACCGTGCCCAGCCATGAAGTTCACTTTTCTTAGATCTTTTTTTTTCTCCTCAGACTGATTTCAATTGTTCTGTCTTCAAGTTTGCCAATTTTTCTGCCTGCTCAAATCTACTACTGAAACCCTCTAGCAAAATTTCCACTTCATTTTTTAGTTCCAGACTTTTTATGTTTCTTTTACAATTGCATTTCTTATTGATATATTCATTTTGTTCACACATCATTTTCCTGGTTCTTTTTTCTTGAGACAGAGTCTCGCTCTGTCCCCCAGGCTGGAGTGCAGTGGCGCAATCTTGGCTTACTGCAATCTTCACCTCCCGGGTTCACACCATTGTCCTGCCTCAGGCTCCAGAGTAGTTGGGACTACAGGTGCCTGCCACCACGCCCAGCTAATTTTTTGTATTTTTAGTAAAGACGGGGTTTCACCATGTTGGCCAGGATGGTCTCGATCTCCTGACCTCATGATCTCCCGCCTCGGCCTCCCAAAGTGCTGGGATTACAGGCGTGAGCCACTGCGTTCAGCCTAGTTCTCTATGGTTTCTTTTACCTCTCTGAGCATATTTGAAGCAGTTGATTTAAAGTTTTTGTCTAGTTAAGTACAATGTTTGTGCTTTCTCCAGGACACTTTCTGGCAGCTTACTTTTTTCCTTTGAATGGGACATATTTTCTTGCTTTGTTATATGCTTCATGATTTTTGCTTTGTTAAAAACTGCACAACTGAATATGAAAATGTGGTATCCCTCCCCTAGGCTTTGCTGTTTTTGATTGTTGAAGACTAGAGTCACATGCTCATTTAGTGACTTTTCCAAACTATTTTTGCAAAGACTATTCTTTGTCGAGCACAGTCACTCAAGTCTTTTTCTTTAGCTTGTGTTCAACTAGTGTTTTGACAGAGATTTCTTTGAATATCAAGAGAAAAATAAAAACAAAACACTTCTCCCAGTCTTTGTGTCGGGGTACTTTTTTAACACTGTTTACAACTCTGAGTTGACTGCCTTCACTGAGCCTAGAGATTAGCCAGAGTTCTCGAGAAAGCTTATGGTCTTAAGGTCTTTTCTGAACACACATCCAGTCCTGGGCGTGCATGTGACTTCCTGGATTCCCCAAAATATATGGGTGCTTTTTAAAAAAAATGTATTATTTTTTTTTGGAGACAGAGCCTCACTCCAGTTGCCCAGGCTAGAGTGCAGTGGCACGATCTCAGATCACTGCAACCCCCGCCTACCACGTTTAAGCAATTCTTGTGCTTCAGCCTCCCAAGTAGCTGGGGTTACAGGTATGTAACCTGTAAAATTAGCCACCACACCTGGCTAATTTTTGTACTTTTAGTAGAGACAGGGTTTTGCCATGTTGGCCAGGCTGGTCTTGAACTCCTGGCCTCAAGCAATCCTCCCGCCTCGGCCTCCCAAATTGCTGGGATTACAGGCGCGAGTCATCACACCCGGCCTTTCTCAATTTTTAGTAAAGACAGGGTCCTGCCATGCTATACTGGCTGGTCCTCAACTCCTGGCCTCATACGATCCTCCTACCTTGGCCTCTCAAAGTGCTCAGATCGTAGGTATGAGCCACCACACCCACTCCAAGGCTGCTTTTGAATGCCTTTATCTCCCCACAAGAAATTCCTCAGCTTTTCTTCCTAGGCTTTAGATGGCCAACTAAATGGGTAACCACAGTACAAAGGCCTGGACCAGAGGAGAGACCTGAGGGGACGGGGTTCAACAGCCACTAGCCTGGCTGTTGAACTGGGAAGGGGTCAGGACTACAGGGCAAATCAAAGAACCCCGGTAGCCATCATGTCATACTTCTTTGTGTCAAGTGGGGAAATCACAGTTCTGCTCAAGGTGCCAGGGGCCAGGCCAGGTCAACTTCCTTGCTGACATCCAGCCTTGGCTCCTTGAGTCAGAGTACCCCCCTCACCCTCCCCACCTGTGATGACACAGATGACACAAATGCCTCCTAGGGGTAAGCACAGGGTTCCATGGACATCACTTCCTCAGAATAAGGGCACCAGGGGGAACTGTTCTTAAAGTACCTGGCTGCTGATAGTGAGGGCAGATGGCTTCCAGCTCAGTATCACTACAGCAGGGGGGACCACAGGCTGCAGATCCAGGGTGGGTCACAGCAGGAGCATCATTCATAGGGGCCTGGGCTGCAGGGGTCCAAGGGGATGGTCCTGGAGCTGAGAGCTCCATCTCTGCCTCCTCACGGCGAGTTCTGAGGCTGGGCATGACTAGGACCTGAAGACCAGCAAGAAAACAGGTGAGTATACAGACAGGCTAGCTCTAAGGATTCATCCTCCCATCAGGCCGGAGTCTCTTCCTCCACTCCTGCAGCCCAAGACCTGAAAAGGGCCTGGTGCTGCCTTGTCTCAGGGGCTGATGCTATGTTCCCTGATCCTGGACCCAAAAAGAGGGAGTCAGCCACGGAGACACAGACTCACAAGCCAGGGCCACAGCTACAAAGGGGCAAGATTCTGACCCTACGGCAAAGTTGGGTAACGGTGCCCAGGCCTACCATGATAGGAGGGCAGCCCCCATAGGGCCTGTATCCTGCTGTGGGCCTGGGTCCTGCTGTGGGGCCTGTATCCTGCTGTGGGCCTGTGTCCTGCTCTGGGCCTGGGTCCTGCTGTGGGCCACATCCTGCAGTGGGCCTACATCCTGCTGTGGGCCTGTGTCCTGTTGGGCCTGTGTCCTGCTGTGGGCCTGTACTCTGCTGTGGGCCAGTGTCCTGCTGTGGGCCGTACCCTGCTGTGGGCCTGTGTCCTGCTGTGGGCCTGTGTCCTTCTGTGGCCACTCTTATCACTCCTTGTTGCTGGCATTCAAAATGCCCTGAAGCTGGGCACGCTAGACCCACCTACAGTGGGAGAACAGCAGCTCCAAAGGTTGAGCAGCCAGGGGCAGCCTGTGCTGCAGCCCCACATGTCACCATATGTGTCAACGCCTGCCAACCCTAGTGGTCAATTCTGTCTGAGTTGCACCATCCTGGAAGCCTCCTCACCAGGTGTTCCCATCTTTACTTGCCTGGGACGTTCTCCCACTGCACCACCTACTACCTTCTAGTCTCTCATTCCCCATTTCATGTTGGCACCCCAGTGTGCACTTCTGCATTGACACCAACTTCCTTGGTGATTACGTCCAGTCTTGAGGCATCAACATCCTTGTTAAGACTCACAAACTTGGGCTCATCTCCAGTCCTAACTATGAAGACAGGACACTCCCATGTGGAGGCATGATGGGCTCCTCACATGGACCAGGTTACTGAATCTCCCTACCCCCTCGCCATACCCTGCCCGGGTGCCCACTGGGAGCACTGACATACCTCAGCCCTTCACTCACAAGTACTGACACTGACTCCTCTGTTCTTCATGAGCACCAGCTGAGAGTGAGGGTGTGATCAAGGGGATCTGCAAAGGAGATCTTAAGAAAGAAGGCAGAAGGATGGTGCAGGGAGTCAAGGCGATGGTAGGTGTCACCCATAAGCTATGTGGGAAAGAAAGAAGGGCTGGGTGATGCTCCTGGACTCAGATCACCATCAAGGAGGAATGCACAACTAGTGGTCTGGGTGAAAAGGTCAGAGGACAAGTGTAGGGAAAAACTTGAGGGAGAAGGCAAGGAGATACGAACAGAGCTCACAGGGAATGGTCACTAGGGACAGATGGTAAGGGAGCTTGGCTGCCAGATGAAGGTGAAGCACTGGCCACATTTCCATGTCGGGAGAGACAAAACTAACACAAGATTAACTTGGCAGGGTGCTCAGAAGAATGGTGGGAGATGAGATTCAAAGCAGTTACAGCACCAGAAACAGAGGAGACATAGGCGATGGGGTTGACAAGGCCCTCAGTGACTGCATCTGCCTGCCCTTACAGTGCTGATGCCCAGTTTCCTCGAGGGAAACCTCTCCCAATCCAAGGGGAGATGTAATAATCTGCAATATTTATTTAGTTCATTTTATTTAAAAATACTTTAAAGTCTCATTTTTTCTGAATAGGGGCATAGTCACCTCAAAATTTAAAAGGTAAAAATAATTTATAGTGAAAAATCCCCCAAAGATTCACTCAGTTTCCCTTGTTTCTAGTGTACCGTTCCAGATTAATCTAGGTTTACACAGCAAATATATACACATACGTTTGCCTTCAAATGATAAACTACACCCAACTATGCTATGGCTTCACACCTTATTTTTCTCACTTCATTATGCGTGGAATCTTGCTTACCAGGACACAGAATAAACGCCCCCTTCTCCCCCAGGTCCATATCCTAATCCCTGGAACTTGTGCTTATGTTACACTACATACCAAAAGGGACTTTGCAGAGGGAATTAAGGTTATGGACGTGAATTACCCTGGTGGACCCAATCTAATCAAATGAGCCCTTAAAAGCCTGAGAAGGATCTGAGGGCCACGTGGAAGGACCTCGGAGAGCTAAGGGCCACTCAGGCCGGCAGCCAGCACTTCTGAGGACCAACCCCAAGAAACACAGATTCGGCCAACAGCCTGAACAAGCTTGGAAGCGAAGCCTCCTGGCTAAAGGCTAAGACCGCCCGAGCAGTCAGACACCTGGAAGAGCCAGCCGCCACCCTCCCACAGCAAGCAGCCACAGGATGGGCCCTGGCCGATCCCTCAGCACCTTGCCCCTCGGGGGAGAACGGGCCCAAACTCTCCACCCTTCCCAGAGTATCTCCCCCACACGCAGAGCGACTCCACTACTGACTGGGCCTCCCAGGCAGGACATCTGAGGCCGAAACCCCGTTTCTCCCCCAGCTCTGCTCTGTGCATCTCCGACTTCGCATCGAACACCAGGAACCGCGAGCCCACCACGTCTCCCACGCGCAGGGAACCACCGCATCGCACCGCTGCCCCGTCGCTCCGCCCGAGCTCGAACGGCGGCATCGATACGCAGGAACGCCACCAGCCTGCGGGCAGAGTCCTAGCTCGGCCCCCCGCCGCGACCTTACTGCGGGCTCTCCCCGGAGACCCCCCTCCCGGAGGCCGCCCCCAGAGGCTCCGACCTCCAGCCCAGGCCAAGCGGCCCCCGCCCCGCCCCCCCGGCGCTCCCACAACCCCCCGCGCGGCTCCGCCCCCGCCCGGGGTCCCCGTCTCGCCGCCCGCCCCGTCTGAGCCCTGAGAGGCCCCTGGGCCCCCCAACCACGGGGGCATCAGGGACAACCGGTGCGGGGTCCGAGGCGTGGAGCTTGGCGGAACTAACTCACCTCAACAGGTCGCGCTTGGAACGGAGGCAGCACCGCGGCACGAACGCCTCTCAGCCAGCGCCGGCTGACCCCCGGAAGTCCCGCCCCGATTTCCGGCCCGCCGCTCGGTGTGTCTGGGACAGCGTAGCCACTCTAGACGTTGGGAGGCCGGGGCGACTCTCTGGTTCAGCCCCATTCCTGGTCCCGCTAACCCTGAGCCAGGGACCCTTCTGTTCCCCTTTTTTTCAGAGTGCACCCGTGCACTGAACAAGGCGGCAATTGAAGAAAAGGGGACACTATTAGAAATGCAGAGATAATGAGATATACTGTTTAGTGGGAGATTTTAATACACAGGCCCGCAGAATCGAAACAGATTGTAGTTTGAGAAAAACCTAAGGATACATTTTTTGGAAGAAATGAATCATTCAATCAGTAAGTGATCAGAAAGATAAATGGAAGAATTCAAATTCTTTCAGTAGATAATGTTTTCGTGAGATTGTGCGTGGATCATTTATAATACGGAAATGAATTGTACACTTGGACATAAAGAATACAAATAAGGCTGGGTGTGGTGGCCCACGCCTGTAATTTCAGCACTTGGGAGGCCGAGGCGGGCAGATGGCTTGAGGCCAGGAGTTTGAGACCAGCCTGGGCAATATAGGGAGACTCCATCTCAACAAAAAATACACAAGTTAGCCAGGTGTGATGGTGTGCGCCTGTAGTCCCAGCTACTCAGGAGGCTGAGGTGGGTGGATTGCTTGAGCCTGGGAATGTGCGGCTGCAGTGAGCAGGGATCACACCATTGCACTGGTGAGAGAGTGAGACCCTGTCTCAAGGAAAAAAAAACAAAAAACAAAAAACAAAACAACAACCAAAAAAACCCACAAATATTTTAACGTTCATTTTGCAGGCAAATTAAACTATTAAAATTAGGAATACATAATAAAAAATACACGACAAACTCTATTGGAATTTAAGAAACACTGTGTAGATAACCTTTTTTTTTTTTTTTAAGTTCAGGCGGAGGTGCTCTCAGTTGGAGATGAGGAATTTATTGGAAGCTAGATAAAGGTCATTCTCGCTATGCTTTAGCAAAGAGATTGGTGGCATTTTGGCCCTGCCCTAAAGATCTGTGGAACTTTGACCTTGAGAGAGATGATTTAGGGCATCTGGCAGAAGAAATTTCTAAGCAGCAAAGCATTCAAGATTTGACATACCTTTTTCTGAAAGTGTACAGTCATATGCATTCACAAAGAGATGGCCTGAAATGGGAACTTACGTTTATTTTTATTTCCATAGGTTTTTACATTTTTTATTTCCATAGGTGGTGGTGGTTGGTTACATGAGTAAGTTCTTCAGTGGTGATTTGTGAGTGGTGATTTGGTGCACCCATCACCTGGGCACTATACATTGAACCCAATTTGTAGTCTTTTGTCCCTCACGCCCTTCCCACCCTTTCCCCCGCGAGTCCCCAAAGTCCACTGTATCCTTCTTATGCCTTTGCATCCTCATAGATTAGCTACCTCTCATGAGTGAGGACATACGATGTTAGGTTTTCCATTCTTGAGTTACTTCACTTAGAATAATAGTCTCCAATCCTATCCAGGTTGCTGTGAATGCCATTAATTCACTCCTTTTTATGACTGAGTAGTATTCCATCATATATATGATATATTCCATCATACATCCAACATCCATATATCATATATATGATGGAATACTACTCTCTCTTTCTCTCCCTCTCTCTCTATATATATATGCCACAATTTGTTTATCCACTCGTTGATTGATGGGCATTTGGGCTACTTCCACATTTTTGCAATTGTGAATTGTGCTGCCATAAACATGCATATACAAGTATCTTTTTCCTATAATGACTTCTTTTCCTCTGGGTAGATACCTAGTAGTGGGATTGCTGGATGAAATGGTAGTTCTTGGTAGTTCTACTTTTAGTTCTTTAAGGATGCTCCATACTGTTTTCCGTAGTGGTTGTACTAGTTTACATTCCCACCAGCAGTGTGGAAGGGTTCCCTTTTCACCACATCCATGCCAATACCTATTATTTTTTGATTTTTGATTATGGCCATTCTTGTGGGAGTAAGGTGGTATTATTTTGTGGTTTTGGTTTGCATTTCCCTGATCATTAGTGAGCATTTGTTTGTTGGCCATTTGTATATCTTGTTTTGAGAATTGTCTGTTCATGTCCATAGTCCTCTTTTTGATGTGATTATTTTTTTCTTGCTAATAGTCCTTTGTTGGATGTATACATTGTGAAGATTTTCTCCCACTCTGTGGGTTGTCTGTTTACTCTGCTGACTGTTCCTTTTGCCGTGCAAAAGGTCTTTAGTTAAATTAAGTCCTACCTATTTATCTTTGTTTTTGTTGCATTTGCTTTTGGGTTCTTGGTCATGAAATCTTTGCCTAGGCCAATGTCTAGAAGGGTTTTTTCTGATGTTATCTTGTAGAATTTTTATATTTTCAGGTCTTAGATTTAAGTCCTTGATCCATCTTGAGTTTATTTTTTTAAGGTGAAAGATGAGGATCTAGGTTTATTCTCCTACATGTGGCTTGCCAACTATCCCAGCACTATTTGTGAATAGGTTGTTTTTTCCCCACTTTATGTTTTTGTCTGCTTTGTTGAAGGTCAGTTGGCTGTAAGTATTTGAGTTTATTTCTGGGTTCTCTAGTCTATTCCATTGGTCTATATGCCTATTTTTTTTTAGCAGTACCATGCTGTTCTGGTGACTATGGCCTTATAGCATAGTTTGAAATCAGCTTCTGTGATGCCTCCAGGTTTGTTCTTTTTGCTTAGTCTTGTTTTGGCTATGCATGCTCATTTTTGGTTCCATATGAATTTTAGGATTGTTTTTTCTAGTTCTGTGAAGAATGATGGTGGCATTTTTATGGGAATTGTATTGAATTTGTAGATTGCTTTTGGCAGTATGGTATTTTCTCAATATTAATTCTACCCATCCATGAGCATGGGATGTGTTTCAATTTGTTTGTGTTGTCTATGATTTCTTTTAGCAGTGTTTTGTAGTTTTCCTTGTAGAGGTCTTTCACCTCCTTGGTTAGGAATATTCTAAAGTATTTCATTTTTGCAACTATTTTAAAAGGGGTTGGGTTCTTGATTTGATTCTCAGCTTGGTTGCTATTAGTGTATAGCAGAGCTACTGATTTGTGTACTTTAATTTTGTATCCTGAAACTTTGCTAATTCATTTATCATTTCTAGGAGCTTTTTGGAGGCATCTTTGGGGTTTTCTAGGTATATGATCCTATCATCAGCAAACAGCAACAGTTTGACTTCCTCTTTACCAGTTTGGATGCCGTTTATTTTTTTCTCTTTTCTAATTGTTCTGGCTAGGACTTCCAGTACTACGTTGAATAGAAGTGGTGAGAATGGGCATCTTTGTCTTGTTCCAGTTCTCAGAGGGAATGCTTTCAACTTTTACTCATTGAGTATTATGTTGGCTGTGCGTTTATCATAGATGGCTTTTATTACATTGAGGTATGTCCTCTGTATGCCGATTTTGCTGAAGGTTTTAATCATAAAGGGATAGTGGATTTTGTAGGGTGCAGCCCTTCGGTGCTTAGCGGGTGTTCTCCCCGTGTGCAGAGATGAGAGATTGTAATAAATAAAGACACAAGACAGAGAGATAAAGAGAAAGCAACTGGGCCTGGGGGACTACTACCATCAAGACGTGGAGACTGGTAGTCACCCCAAATGGCTGGGTGTGCTGATATTTATTGCATACAAGACAAGGGGGCAGGGTAAGGAGGGTGAATCTTCTAAGTGATTGATAAGGTGAAGCAAGTCACGTGATCATAGGACAGGTGGCCCTTCCCTTTTAGGTAGCCCAAGCAGAGAGAGAACATAGCATACGTCAGCGTTTTCTTCTATGCACTTATAAGAAAGATCAAAGACTTTAAGACTTTCACTATTTCTTCTACCGCTTTCTACTATGAATTTCAAAGAGGAACCAGGAGTACGGGAGGAACATGAAAGTGGACAAGGACCATGACCATTGAAGCACAGCACCACAGGGAGGGGTTTATGCCTCCGGATGACTGCACGCAGGCCTGGATAATATCCAGCCTCCCACAAGAAGCTGGTGCAGCAGAATGTTCCCTGACTCCTCCAAGGAAAGGAGACTCCCTTTCGCGGTCTGCTAAGTGTTGGGTGTCTTCCCAGACACTGGCATTACTGCTTGACCAAGGAGCCCTCAAGTGGCCCTTATGTGGGCGTGACAGAAGATTCACCTCTTGCCTTCTAGGTCACTTCTCACAATGTCCTTTCAGCACCTGACCCTATACCTGCCAGTTATTCCTAGGTTATATTAGTAATGCAACAAAGAGTAATATTAAAAGCTAATGATTAAATAATGTTTATAATAATTGACAATTGTCCATGATCATCTCTATATCTAGTTTGTATTATGACTATTCTTATTCTATTTTTTTTTATTATACTGAAACAGTCTGTGCCTTCAGTCTCTTGCTTCAGCACCG